TTGGGATATTCCTAAATCATCTAAAATCCACCACTGTGCAGGAACCCAAATGGATCATACACTTTCATATTTTCAACGGTTTCAAACCTCATGTTAACTAATGGTATTGGTTTTAAGTTTCTAAATTCAGCCCATTTCAAACTTATTTTGGAGGATCTGCGAGGATTTATAGGGTAAATGTATTGAAATCCTACATGAGAAGGCTGGCAAATAAACTATTTTTCCCCAAAGAAGATCTTTAATTTACTTTCATCAACATTTGCCAATCCAGAACAGTCCTAATTTCATATTTTGTGCTCGATGGGTAATGTTGGTATATCTTAATTATATATTGGTAATTTTGATTATATTTCAACTTGTGAATACTTGGATTTAATTAAGTATTTATGTATTTATCAATCTATATATTGCATGTAATGAGACCAATGTTCAAACAGAGTAGGACCAATCAATGAGATTGAAATTGTACCAGATGCTCTGCACTTTATTCAAAATAAACTATTTGATAATAGTGGTTCTGTGTTTAAGTGTATAATTGTGGATCTGCGTAAAGTATGTATATATTGGATAATAGTGGTTCCGAGTAAAGTGTAAATATTTCATAATAGTGGCTCTGAGTTAAAATACATATATTTGATAATAGTGGTTCTGAGTTAAGTGTATATATTTGATAATAGTGGTTCTGCGTCAAGTGTGCAACTTGTGTAAAAATTAATATTTGATTGATGGTTGTGTTTGATTTTGACCTAGCAACATGTAATCATCCTAATGAACAAAAACTAATTTAAAAAAGCTATAAAACCAGAGCAAAGTGAATGAACGTTTTAATTCAAGGGTTGTTATGACTCATGAGAAAACTTTGCAAAGTGTAGTAGTGGAAAAGTATATCCATTGACAAGTACAGTCCATGAATTCTCCACAGATGCCAGAAATGCTCCATTTTACTAACACACAGATGCAACACAAGCATCACTTGTAAAAAAAAAAAAAATATTGTCTATTTACTTCTTAGTTTTGTGCAACAACAAAATTCAAAAGTATGTTAGCATCATCAACAGTTTAAATTTTCATTATCTTAAATGACAGGTCTGTTTTTTTTCCACACCAAATGGGAATTGGAAAATAGGTTCCAAGCTGGCTTATTAACCAAGGTAGCAATTTATAATATCTGGGGAAATAGCCAGGTTAGCGACCCCAGCCCATACTGATCTCTGACACAGGAAATTCTTCAGGCTCAAGCTCAGCTGGCAACACCATAATTAAGTGTGCACGCTGACCTGGGCTTTTGTGGACTCACTGCGCAAAGCAAGGTCAGCCCTTTGGCCTGATACTGTGATTGTATGCTAATAATTAGGCCACGCCCCCAAATCTATTCATATTCTAATGAAATGGCAACAAATACTACCCAGGGAGTGTAAACATGTCCTTGCTGAAAACCTGACAGGGCCAAAGGGGCAAGTTATGGCACGTTTTCTGGATTTCATGAATGAAAACTTGGTGCAAAGTTGACAAACAACAGTTTTTTTTTAAAACCAAACTAGTATTACTCTGTTGAAAACCATAACTGATTCTGTCATTAAGAACAAGCTTTGCTAAGACATATGTGTGACGGATTTCTTTCAGAAACGCATGCCCCCCCCCCCAATTTAAACTTTGAACATCGACCACTTGAATCAATAGAATCAATCAAAAGTTGGTGCTGAGCATTTCACTCCATTAATGTCACTGTGGAAAAAGTATATCATAACAGTTCATTTAAACCTCGACCTAGGTTTGAATAATTCATGATATGCCTGGTTGCACAATGGCCACAAATAACAATGTCATTGAAAATTTGGCATTGTGTGGTTTCACTTGAATGTTTGTGAAGCAACAATCGACCATTCAAAAGAGTCCAAAATATTGCATGAACAGTATTCAAATTAACATTCTTTGATGTTATTTCAGCATTATCCTAAATCAAGAAAAATCTGGCAGTATTCTTTTAAAATTAATTTCTGATCATAAACCACCAACCAACTAACGTTATATTCTTCTATTAATTCTACCTCAATTTTTGTTTTAGATGAAAAAAATAAAACAGTTGTTAGGATTTGTGATCACTATTTTTTTCAATGTCTCAAAGTCAAAGGGGAGGAGAATCCTCATGATTGTTTTTAAATTCCCGTTCAGGGTTTTTGGGGACTGATGTCCTCTCATGTTTTTTAATCCTGTACCAAGGACACATTTTTACGACTTGCTGTCAAAGAGGATCATCCTCTTTCGATCGAATGTGCCAAGTTTAGTACAAAACTCTAAAACATATCTTGCCAGCTTTCAATTTCAATTATTTCATGTATATACATTTTGTGTCTTTAATTGTTTTATAGTGCAGCGCAATTCACGTTTAAGTATTTCTAAAATATTAAGTATTATATTTTAAAATATAATTTTAAAATATAATTATTATTATTTAACTCTAGCCCTGTGTCCAAGTTTCAAGAATATAGACCAAAACGTTTGTACAGCTGCAATATTAAAATTTTAATTGAATTAAATTTCTAGAAATCCTGAGGCATTTTTAATGGGGCCGTATGGTATCATAAGTCCGAGGGTTCATAGGTCCGAAGCCTCATAAGTCCGATGCCTCATAAGTCCAAAATCGGAAAACCGAAGCGTACAAGGCGTCGGAGGGATGCGATTTTGTCGGACTTATGAGCGGACCCCTTTTTAATATAACAATGCATCTGTGCGATTAAACTTTCAACACATAAACGTGTGGTACAATTTTGTGGTATAAAATTAGTATTTGGCAACAAAAGTTTAAATCCCTTCTTTTTAAACTGTATCACATTCATTGCCCCAAAATTCCTCTTCAGTCATGGTAGGTTTGGTAGAATGAGACATTGGTAGATGCATTATTAATTCAAATGATAGGCCTAACCATTATTATTATTATAAACCAAATATGGAAACAAATGAAACATAATTTAAGAATGGCTAAACAGCATTCCTTTGGCTGAACTATTGCTAAACGAGAAATTAATTAATTGTTCAAACCTCCCATTAATCATTTACATCACTGGCAGCATGGCAGGACATTGTACATCACGTCACATGAAAGAACATGAATATTTATTCGATCAGCTGATTTTGTGAAACGGCGATTCAACTAGGCCTATCATTTTCTATGGAGGTCCTTGGTTCGAGCATAATAAACAAATGCAAATGTATCAAATGAAATGGCTAAAATAATGTTCTACAAGTTTATGAGGCCTTCTTGAAAGAAAATGAATTCATATTTTTTATTAACTACGAGCAACAGACGATAGCAAACTGCAGAAAAATTACAGCCTAACGTATTTCCAAAATTTGCACAATGGATTTAAATGGCCAACTCGCAAAAAAGATGACCCCCGACAACGCGATGTTGCAACATCCCCATCAGAATTTCAGCTACTCCGAGTACTCGCTTTGAAAAACATGTGCGAAAAAACGCAAAAGAAAGGTCAGAAAACCCAAAGTAGTCCTCGGGTGTGGCTGTCTTACCTCAGAAAGGCCTGGGAGACCGAGAAAAGCAAGGCAGAAAGTGATTCCGAGCGCCGCCATCTCATCCATCACCGCAGAAAGTTGCGAAGAATCAGCTGCATCAGAACCCGTTCGCTCGTATCGCGATATCGAGTGAGCAGCTAGCTAGCTTCGTTGACGTACGTGACGTGGTATTTCGAAATCCAACCGCCCTGCAAGGCAATCCCCGACCTTTATGACCTCCTTTTTCAACGGCAACCATTTTTCATAAAGTGGGCGGTGAAATATTATATCCTACTAAATCAATAATAAAATATGTTATGATAGCCTTTAATGAATGAATACATGCAACAGTACAGTTACTGTATTTTAGTAATTTTTTTTTTAAACAATACTGTGTACAATAACATGTTCAAAGTTTCTGTGGTGTACTGTTACCCCTAGTAGAAAGTCGGATGATCCAAATCAGGCCACCAGTGACGTCACCTGTTTATCGCAAGTAGAAACCGCTCATGAATATTAATCAATCGACGCTTTGTGGCCCCGTAATGTGGTTAAAATACAATCGAATCAGCTAGCTGCACACGCGTTATCGCGGATACTAGCTATAGTAATGCCATGTCTCCTTTCAGTTTGGTCACAATAGTTTCGGTAGTAAACAAGTTTGAAAACCGTTATTATGTAAACAAAAAACGGTGCACCGTTGCAAAATTCTGATGCAAGAGCTATGTTAGTCGTATGCTCTATGGTCGTATGACCTAATGGGGAATCCCTCAGAGGGTTGAACCTCCATGGTTGAATCATACTGGGGAATTACACTTGTGGTTGAACCATACTGGGGAATTACACTTGTGGTTTCGCAATTCTCGTCGTTTCTTAGACAAAATAAATCTTGGTCAAAGCTCAAAAGAAGTGTTGCCATCAACAAGTTCCAACTTGTTATGGTCGGGGCTAATTAACTGCATGAGCATTGAGCAATATTCGACCTGCTTTGCGACCCAGTTTCAGCAAAGGAAACTGCAGAAGAAACTGTGCCTAATCCCTCAAATTATGCCTACAACTGAAAGCCAATAATCATAGTCTAAATATAATTATTCTGGAATATTTTTGAAGAAGGATCAAAACTGTTACAAAAGGTTTCTTGTGTATTAACTGTTTTTATAAAAACATTAAATAATACTTTATCCGAAAATGAGCTTGATTTGCGATGGCAAAAAAAAGTTTTTGATAGATTCGGATAATTTGATAGATTATAGATAAACTCTATAAGCAATTTTACAATCCAAACTACATGTAGGGCCTATCTTCAGTTGCCACCAGCAATAATTCAAATCGAACTCATTGCACAGTACCCTCGCCTCTTTGCCACATATGTACTGACCAAAGAATAATATGCGTACACCACTTACTAGGCGCCTTTTGCCCACCACACCAATTTATGGTAAACTCATAGAGCTATTATTATAAGCTCTATGGGTAAACTTAAATGGCGCCCTCTATGTCATGAATGATACAATAACAAGATGGCTGCCTCCATGATGACATTGATTTCTCACGACCCCATTGTGTGCTATTTATGTGAAGATTCCACACTTAACTAAATCGGAAAAATATGTTCGTACAAAGCTTTGACCTCAGGCTTCTGTATAATCAGGAAATAAGAGGTAGGCTAGGCATAGTGTAACTAAACTAGTCTGTACATGTATGATGTAGTTAACTTTAAAGGAAACAAATAGGCCGAGTAAGTCTTGGACCTGTTGTCATGGTTGTTGTGCCCATTCTTGAAAATCACGCAATCTTAAGAATGTGCGCGCATTCTTAAGAATGAGCGCCCATTCTTAAGAACGAGCACGCGTTCTTAAGAATAAGCGCTCATTCTTAAGATTGGGTGGGAATATCACGTGCACAATTTATGAATTTTGCCCAATCTTAACAAACATTGCACGACATAATTATGTTAAATGAAATGTATAGCGGTTAAAAGGGAAACAATTTATATAAAGAGGAAAGAAAATGTTCTATGCTTCTGTACTCGTATAACTACGATAATTTGAATCAAATTAAACCTGTTATTATTGCTTTTTTTCTGCCCACTATGGGAAGTTTTGTAATAACGGAGGACTGGGAACTAGTCTGGGAAGTGCTTTGTTTAGGCTAGACAAGTTACAAGTCCCTGTATGTATCATATGCATGCCACAAAAAAAAAACGATGTCCAGAAGCTGCCAAAATTGCTCTTTTGACTAGATAGAATCCAGCTCTGCGACGTAATGGTGGGGTGTGAACAATAAATTGGTGGCAATTTAAATGGGAAATAGCATTAGCACTATGGGATGTCGCAGTATTCATTCTCATTCTTCACATTCTTCATTCTTACGTCCACCCCCCCCCCTTTTTTATTATCCAAAAAATCTGAATTCTTTCCACTAGTATTATTATGTCTCTTATTTTTTCCCGGTCCCCCCCCCCCCCCCGGCATAATCAATACGCCTATACTTATCATATCCACTCTACTTTTCAGCGCCTTGCGTTGCAACAGTATAATTATTGAGAATCAGTGAACGAGGATGCAGCTAGACTTGCCAAGCGCAGCCGGTGCTCGGCATCGACAAGACCGTTATCTTGTCGCGCATTCTTAAGAATGTGCGCTCAATCTGGAAGAGTTATTTTTTGCGAAGATTGCGCAAGGATCCAGTTGCACATTCTTAAGAATGTGCATGCACATTCTTAAGAATGCGTGATTTTCAAGAATGGGCACAACAGACCCAACATCGCCTTTTTAACATTCGGACATGGTCTGGCGATAGTAGGGTCCAAGCTAATCCTGATATCATTGTATATATATGCTGAGCAACACAATTCTGTCATTGACCCCAAAACCCAACATTGCCCAACAAAAACATCAGATTTCACCCTCAAAACGGTTGTGGATTTATGTATTATGATAATGAGTAGACTGGATCACGTTTGTAAATACAAGTGCATTTCGAACGATAATAGGGAGTCGGGAACTAGGGCAGATTTTATGGATGGAAACCAGCTAGCTAGTTCCCGACTCCCTATTTTAAATTTTTTTAAAAACATTTTTTTGAATTTTTTAACATAGCAAATCATTTTCTACCCATTTTTTTTTCTGATCTAAAGACGTCAATTAGAAGTTGATTTCCGAGGGTGCACGATAACCCCTTCTTCCCACTAAAAACAAGGCTACGAGTAACGCGCAGTAGGGTTTATGGTCAAATCCTGAATGGCCTATCACCAATACTTTAGGCCAAAAAATATATCTGCTTCCGATTACATGGCATTCGAAAATAGGGTAGGTAGGGACTTGTTTTTTTCTTGCCATTTTTTTTATGTACAGTCATATGGAGGCGTCTGCGTGTAGTCAAGTGTAAAAGGTAGAAATTGAAGGTTTTGTGTTTTTTTTTCTCATTTTTCCAATAACAAAATTAGGGTTGGGCTGTCAAAATAGGGTAGGTAGGGAAAACAGAAGCAGAAGTATTTTTTTTTGCCTTACTTATAAAAATCACATTCTTATTTTTCCTTTCTCACTAGATTTTGGTTGATTTCTTTGAATTCTGATTGAACAGTTATTGGCAACGGTACCGGGTCAGTAGGATCTTTTCATCCAGCTCCCCACTGACACATTTTATATGGAGATGGTCACCGCTATCAACAAAGGGTTTTGTTGTGGAAACGTTCATTAGATGACACCGACAATAATTCAAACTTGATTTTACAAAAGTGAACTGTGAAACAACAAGGTTATACACATACATGTAATGTTGATCACAACCATTCTCTGACTCTGTTAATTAATGCTTTACCTTGTTATCTTTGAGTAGAGAATGGTCCACAGTGTCTTGCCGACTTTCAAGACTTGTTTGTGATTTGCACTTCTTTGCTTAACCATCACTGATTTAAAACACACTTATCTATCCTCAGAAATTCAGTCTCTAATCTCAGATTGATTGCATCGAATTTGAAGTGACATTCAATTTCAACTAAGAATTTGGCTGAACTCAAAAAAGCAAGACTGTCTGTGTTTGCAGTTACTGTTTATTTTGGATACATTCTCACTGCATCACCATGGCAGTGAATAAAAAATCGAAGGATAACAGTGCAGGAACAACCAATGCTAATAGTGTATCCCAGAAGACATCTATTAGCAGTTGGGTTCGGAACCGGCCTACGGCCCACCCGGCCTCGGTGTGCGCCGGGTCTGCCATCGGGGTACATTACCGTGCAAACGTTGGATCGTGTCAGCAAAGGCTACTCAGCGAGATCAAGTGTTGTCTATACAGCCGAGTTGCTCCTTCAGGCTTTTCGGACTTCTCCAAGCAGAACGGGCATGAGGCAATCTTTAACCTGGAGTTCTCTCCAAATGGGTACGGACAAAATATTTATACCATTATCCATAACCGGTGGCGGATCCAAATGGGTCCAAGTTGTAGGGGACCTAGGAGGCTTCATTTTCTGGAGGAGTGCACCCCCCCCCCCCCCGATTACATCACTGAGCACTGTCTATAACCTTCTGTGATACTTAAAAATCCCCCAAGATTAGAAGATTGTGCAGGATTGAGGACGGAACAACCAAGCTACAGCAAGGAGATAAATCAACTTGAAATGGCACTTGATCTAGACAATGAGCCGATATAGAAATTCTTTGCATTGTACCCATCTTTGAGGTGGGTACTTTTGTCCAACAAGGATTTACATGAGAATACCTCTTGTTAATTCATTGTTACTTAATTTAATTAAATAACCAAAAATAACCCCAAAACTGTTCAATGCAAGGGGTCTATTTCTGCTCAGTGTTAATTTGCTAAAATTACTTCAACTTGAAAGCAATTGTTACCTTTATGTGAACTAAAAGTTGAACCTCTCCTCAAGTCACACTCAAATTCTCCCTACGGTCCACAGTGATGTCCTAGTAGCAGCTTGTGAGGAGAATAGCATGTTGCTGTTTGATCCATTGACAACCAAGCATATAACAGCGGTTCGCAATGCCCACTCTGACTGTGTCAACTGCATTAGGTAGGTGAATAATAATTGCTTATTATATTTCTTGACCTATGGTATGACCAACCGTTAAAAATGGTTTTAATTTTGGCCCCGTGTTCATTGCTAAAATGCACAATATGGATTGTATATGATTATGACTAACAAGACCACTTGAAAAGTAGGTTAATGCATTATAGAACAATTACATGTACACATCACAAAAAAATATGTACATGTACTGTAATGCGCACATCACAAAAATAAAAAACATACACTGTAATGCACATGTGCAATGTACAGTTACAGTTGTATGGCTTATTGAATCAACTTACTAAATGCTGATTACATGGGACGAAAAACGGGGACTGAAAAAATAAAAAATTAAAATTGTAACTATAATAACCACTCTTCAGTTAAAATTGTTTTGACACTTGAACTGTAGATTTTTGGACAGCAGGACATTCGCTTCGGGGTCCGACGATTCCACCATTGCATTGTGGGATATCCGCAACCTGAAACAGAAGATCCGATGCCTGCAGGGTCACACCAATTGGGTCAAGAGCATTGAGTACTGCCGGCAAACCAGACGGCTAGTCACGTCGGCATTTGACGGCAACGTTGTAACTTGGGACATCAATGGGTAAAGACAAAATATTCTAACACCAGTTTGCCGAACTGGACAGAGGCATTAAATGTACATGTACATATATTTGTTTAGCAGAACGGTTACCAACCAACATGTCATGTGATATTGTTGTAACTAGAGCTTCAGCAACGTTTGATTTGTTGCACATGAACTTGCTACACAGTATTTTCTACTGAGCAGATCCATGAAATTTGGAAATTTGCTTTTGGAAATTGATTTATTTGTGTGTGAAATCAGAACAAAAGTTAGTCTTGGAGCTGAATAAACTCAAAATGTGTGGAAAGTTTCCACACAAAAACATGCATCAGCCATGCTGCTGATCAAAACCGTGACCAAAAAGGGAATGAATAATCTTTACAAGAAATAATCAAGTACTTACGGGCCAATTTTTTTTTTCCCCCAGCTATGAGGAGAAAGGCACACCTCATGAGAAAGTCTTCTATATCGAGTCTCTGATGAGGACGCGGCTCACGCCCGACTGCACCAAATTGGTCATGTCCACGGCTCGGGGATTCTACATCATCGTCCATGACCTCAACCTTTCAACTTTGAACTCTGACCTGGCCGGGCTGGACTTTGCCCGACACTACCAAGGGGTTGGTCTCGGGGAAGAACCGAGTGAATTTGATGGAGAGCTCGGACTGGAGAGAATCTGGCAGGGACGGAGGAGGGGCAGGAATCGCGTGGAGCTGGTGTCGGATTTCCCCGATGGAAGTAAAGCGTCTTGCATTTCGTCCCTGGTTGTGCATCCTCAGGGATGGGCTATGATGTCTAGATACACCACACGAGATAATGATGCCGAGGTTAGAACAACATGTTTATGATCTAAGAGACAATCAATTAGTGAGCAAGTTTCTATTAGAAATACAATTAACCACAGTGTGACTATTAGCACTAAAACACTTGTTGACCTCGTCAGTAGGTGGTATAGTTGAGTAAATAATTCAAGACCAGATTTCCAGGGTTTGTTGCAATACCCGGGTGCACCATAACAAGTGGTATAACAAGTGATACAACATTGTGACCGTTGTTTTTAACAAGAGATGTTTGCAATCCAACTTCTAGTTGACCAATGGTCCTCGATCGAACTCAGTGATGGAAAAAACAATCAGGCCACATGTAAAAATAGTCATGTGACATATTAGCTTGTGGCTGGTCCGGAGTTGATATTTGCTTTATAGCTCACAAATTTGCCAAATTATATGAACAAACTTTTCTGCTTTTCAGTTCATAGTCCGTAGATATTCAACTTAACAGATTGACCTTTTCTTTTTCCTCTAACAGTGGACATGTGTTCATGATCTTCAAGATCCTGTACCAGAAGCATCACACGGTGACACAGTGGTGACCAGACCCCCTGCCAAACGTCTGATGTACTACACAAAGGAACCCACAGACGGTCAGGGTTACATTAAAGAACTCAGTGTTAGTCCTGACGGTCGTTTGATCTGCTCCAGTTACGGTTTCGGGATCCGACTTTTGGCGTTCGACGACAAATCAAGTGAACTCTGCGACATACAACCCCACACCGTGCGGGAACTGCGGCAGGTCAAGTTCCTAGTCAGACACAAGAGTACGGTGTTGACTTCGCGGTTTTCACCCACTCACTGTCTGCTAGTCTCGGGTAGCATGTGCGGGAGGGTCGCTTTCTATCAGCCTAAATTATGAATACAGTGCCTCTTGCATTGAAATGTTTTCCATTATTAACAAATGTTTTCCATCTGTCTTTGATGACACTTTTTACACGGTGCATCCTCAGACATGATGCACTTTGACTTTTTTCTTTAGTGCCTGGCTTTGTAAAGTCTGGTTCACACAACTGTGAATGTGAATTTCTTTGCAAATTCAAATTTTCACTCTGCTAATTCACAAGGTGTAAACTCTTGACAATTTTTGCTGTGAATTTTTTTGATGTCAAATTCGCTTGTGTTCACAGTGCACCCTTTCAAAATGAGAACATACACTCCTGACAAACATGAATTGTGGTATGTGAACTGAGATAAAAATAAGGCAATAAATATGTGCTTGGCCAATATCAATAAAGTACGTTTAAAACCCGGCTAAAAAAACCCCTAACTCCAGTAGGCCTTCTAATATTCTCTCTCTGTTAAGCAAGATTGGTACCAGCTATGGCCCATTCAGTGGAATCCACTGGTCTCCCATGGGTCCCAGCATACATAAAATACAATAAACGTAAACAGTCAATATTGAAAATACACATTCACATAGAGTTACATTAATTTTGTCATCAAGCATTAGAAAATAGGACCCTGCCAAAGATAACATAGGCATTAATTTACATGTTAAAAACCCACAAATATATGTGAATGTAATGAAAGATAACATGATGTGACCGACATTTTATCTATTCTCTTACAAATTGTTTTCACCGGTTAACATTTTTCCAACAATGGGATTGTGAAAGCACCTTTGTGCGGGCAAGGGAATACATCATATGCTTCATTTGTATTAAACTGAATGAGATGATTTTGGTAATTTAATGTGTGTGCAAACAGGAGAAGGCGCTTTCTGATCACTTTCGAGAGGCTAGAAAGTAGTGGACGGGACACACCACCTGCGTTTACTCTTTGCACTTACTGGTTCGTGCACAAAGCCATAGCGTCTTTGCACGAGTGTCAGGCATCATTGTCAGTGCTTTGAATGTCTCTCCCAGTGGCCTCCTCCAACTCTCCTTTTCTTATCATTGAGGGGGTACCTGTGGAGCCTGTATCATTATTGTTAAGATGCACTTTCATCATGAGCACATTTGTAGACACCACACGGGAGATTTGATTTTGTTTTTACGTGTATAGTATTTATTCATTTGCAGGATCATGTTTTATCACTGAAATGCATGGTTTGAAGTTTTGAAATTTCATGAAGTGTAGAGTGAAACAAAGGAATTGTGCACTGTTGTGATAATGAAGGTAATAGTACCATCAGGTACCGTTTTGGAAAGAATCAAGTAACTTGGACAAAATAGTTACAGGTTTGTATTTGCATTTTATTCATTGCAATCAAACCAATCATAAGTTGTATGCATAACACGCAAATTGTTGGTTTGGGTTTTCTATAGACAGATTTATATCAATGTTTTTAATTAAGATATGTCTACTATTACTTTGGAAATGTATACATGTACTTTTATTTTGAGAAATTTAAATACAACCCACAACTCAGAATGTCAAAGACCAAGTTATACTGATTGAGTTTGTAGGCCTCAGTTATCGTCGAGTCTGTGATCAATTAAATATCAAATAAAGTGATCAGCAAATCAATGTATTTGAAGCATTATCTTTCTCAGTGGTTTTGGTGGTTTAATGGTAAAACAACTAAATAATTGTTTTCAGTAATTGACTTTTTTTTATTTGATCGATGATTAAATGACTGGTTGGTTGATTGATTGTTTTGATCGATGGATGAATTTATTCAATCGATTGATTGATAGATAGATTAACAGACGGATTGACTGATCAATCATTTATTTGATCATCAGATTTTTGATAATAAATCAATTGATTAACGAATTGACAAATTGATAAAATGATTTCTGAAACAATTATTTGATATTCTACTATTATTAGTTAATTGATTATTTGAGCTGTTTTCCGTTTGTAATGCTTCCTCCACCATTCAGATCAATGTCATGTCTATAAATAGATTCAAATGACAAAGCTTCAAGTACTTTTCATTTATTATCCACAACTGAAAAAAATAAAATTTAAACATGTTTTTTTAAATAATGGGTTTGTCAACAATTGCACAAACACGGACTTTATCAATTCCCATGAACTAGCAATCAACGTCTGAAATTCTCCATAGACAAATTAATTTGAAATTGCCAGCTTACCATGTTTAAAATATAAAGATGTAGAGAATGTTTCAAAGCGATAGATAAGCTTGTATCCCCGTTATTATACCAAATACATGTAATGTGATACGGATAATTAGCTTAACCTACGACAACAAAAATCTAAGTATGTTTAAACATGTAATTCACCCAACATTATTTTATATATTTCCTATTAAGCAACAACATAACATAACATATGGGACAATCTAAACTTATTTTTTACATCTTAAAATACTAAATAAAATATTAAATTAGTTTAGAAATACTTAATCATTCTCTCTGCAATGCACCGACTGTTTTTGAGGGTTAGCAATATCATTGGGAATGAGCAGGGTGCATTCCAAGTTAAATATTGATTCTGGGGGTAATAAATTCAACTGCCTTGCTTCTAGCGAGATCATAAATGGACTACATCTGAGCACACACACATATAAGCATACCCAGACTACATGCACACGTGGTTCCTTTAGATCAGCGACTTGAGTAATAAAACTATAATGCATATTTATGCCTTGTGGATATGCACGCTCGGATACAGTTATTTAATTAAGAAAAAAAAAACAGGATTTGTTTATGAATGGTTCAGATATAACATGTATGGATAGGACACGATGCGTCACTGTACTTACCAATCTGGTTGCATGCACCAGGTAATTATACATGTAGACAATGACATTTCCGCTATTCCAGCAATTGAAAGGGAAGTCTATACTGGTGTAGGTGCTGAAAATTAAATACATTTGTTAAAATACAAATATTTGAGAAAAAGTTGGTTGCATTTTGATTATTCCAAGAATCGAAAGTAAACTGAATGTACATGTACATTGTACATGTGCAGTCTATACATTGTCCTTGGGAAGATGTAGACATTCAGATATTTAATTACGAGAGTGCTAAACATTCCATAAATATTTAGTTGCATTTTAAGTGAGCACCATTTAATCATATCTAGCAAGATATGTGAAAGAGGGAACCCCTCTTTTGCGTTGGTCATTGTGTTACCAGAATCTTGGGAATTCTTTTGAGATATTGGGGGGGGGGGGGGGGGGGGGGGGGGGGGTGCACGTGCTAGGTAGCAATAGTCTAGGGTGTGTAAAGGGAATAGGGGATGTTGGGGGGGGGGGAAACCCCTCCGTCACATATCGTGCTGGGTATACATTTAACTTTTATCTTTAAAATAAAATCACACCTTTTGACACTGATGCAAATACCTAAAGGTAATATACAACATTGGCAAAAATCAAAACACAAAAACTACTGGGCAAACTATGATGAAATACCTACTTGACTCTAATAATAGTCTCAAGCATCCTGTGAAATCGTGGCACCTGGTGTGCTGTCATTTTCAAGAAAAGTGGAATTTTTGCATCAATTTCCATTGATGGTCAGCCAACCATATTTGGAAATCGAAACTGACCTTTTTTTCTTCAAATAATGCCCCCAATATACCAAATTAAGTTACCGGTAGTTCACATTTTTTTTTGCGATCAGTTACACATTCGTGAACAGATGCAAGTCAGCTAGTCTGGTTCCCTGACCTGACAATTCCTGCGACGTCTATAACTTGCTCCGTTTCATCTGCAGTAGGGTCAGGGAACCTTACCATTTCTTTATCTGTATGCATTTACTTCAATTACCAATGATGATGCACTGACAATTATTCTGTCAATAAGGCATTAATGTTGTCTTAGTTTTAGTGCACAGAAGTGAAAAGTGGATATGTGCAAATTTGCAAATGTTTGTGAACGTAAAATGTTCATCAAATTTTAAATACAGCTATGGCTTATTCACATGCTTTTGGACAAATCTTTTGATTATCACTGTTGCATATGTACATGTGCAATTTTTTGTGCAAGTGCAATATTTTCAAAAAGTACTTCATTTAAAAAAGAGAATCATTTTCATTCATTGTTCTTCACTAAGCAAAAATCCTAGATTTTGATACTTTTTTCATCACAACAGTTACTATTCAACTCTCTGATTTTGGAAAAAAATGTTAACGTGATTAACAAAAACCTAAGTATAATACACATGGAATAAATTCTCACAATGGAAAAAAAAACGTAATGCCCATTCTTGCAACATTTTTAAAATTAAAAAAACAACAACAAAGAGAAATGGTGCTGTGTTGTTATTCACATTTGTCACAATTATTGAACAAGTTTCTAACACAGAAATGTGCTTCAAAAACAACAATTTCATCACTTTTTCCGGTAAAAAAAAAGTTGCTCAAAATCTTTTTTACTAGAATGTTTACATAATTAAACAGCATTAAACTAGTAACCAGGGGCCACTTTCATGGATCTGCTAAGCACAGAAAATACATGCTTAACAAAAACTGGTTACCGGCTATCATATGAGATTCACTTTGTTTGTCATTGGTTCTCTGCTGAGTTTGGCTTAATCTCTGCTGAGTTTGGCTCAGCAATATCTTTTGTGCCAGCGGGAAAATCCACAGATCAATACATTTTGTATTTCCTTCTTTAAAAACATCTCTCAGAGAACCTGTGTTCCACGGTTCATCTCACTATCCAATACAGGCTTCTGTGGCAGCTTGATGTCAGCCGTTCTTTAAAATGCTTTAACCCTAACTCCCTAGCATTATTTATTAGGAACCATACCAATCCTGGCAAATTCCAACACCATATGGGAAACTGCACACACATATTTCTGACTTTGATTCTGGATGTGTGCCAACCCAATGTTAAAGACTGTCAGTTTAGGGGTACTGTGCTCATCCCAACAGATTCCAACCAAACATGCCATTGGGGTTTGATGGGTTGAGTTCTGTTAGGGCTCATTAATGTAACTAGTTGTCTAACAACAATGGTGTGACTTCACTATGCTTTTCTCATGAATAAACAGTTTTCCCATCAAAAGTACTGAACACACGTTCTCTGAGAGACATTCTCAAAGAAGGCAAAATTGATCTGCAGAAAATCCACCAAGCAATTTTAATTCAGTTAAGCAGCTGTATGGTGAGTGGTGTTACTGGTGATTCTGGGCCGAATTTCATGGCGCTACAAAGCAGAAACAAATAGTGCTAAGCAAAAATTTGCTGAGTACCAGTCACAAATGATACACATTGAATGAAATGTTGGTTGGTGACCTGTCAGTGCTAAGCAGATAGTTTCTGTGCTAACAAGCTCCACAAAAGTGACACCCGATAATGGCCCACTCAACAAACATAACATTTTTATAGCAAAATTGTGCATTGGTTTCCACTAGTTTTCTTTAAATATACTACTGATATTTGCACTTTTTAATCAAAACAATTGGAGAATTATTTTTTATTACTGAGATCACAAAAACTATGTGGATGAAATTGTCCGATTGGGCTTAAATGGTTCACAGAGCTGCTGAGCGGAAAAAAAACACAAGTAAATTACCACCATCAGATCTTTCTGTAGTACTTTTTCAAACAAACACTCCTGGAATGCAAATATGCATACATTTTACCTAAGAAGAAATCAATAGAATTTGGAATATACAATCATTCAATAATAATTTAATTACAACTACAAAAATACTTTTTTCAACTGCTTTAACATTTACTGGTTTTCATCAGATCAGGCTGCTTTATGGGAAAACTAAGTGCAGGTGACTGCTAAACACACAAAATATGAAATTGGAAAATACCAGCTAAAATGTCTTGGGACGGCCACACCTTGAAATTAGTTCTAGAGTTTTTTTCTCTAAGAACAAAAGTAATATTTTTTACTTGCCAGAACTATGCCTTTTGAGTGTATGGACTACTTGCATGAACAGAACATTGCGCTTGGTGACTTCTTTTGAAAGCCCAAGTTGGAGGGTCTCACCGCGTGCGTGCACTGGTTCACGTGTGTTGGGCGGGAAGAACGCACGACATATTTTATTATGAATGTAAAGGGCCTGTCTCAATTCATAAGGCCAAAAAAAAAAAAAAAGTTCTGCTTCCGGTTTCCCTACCTACCCTATTCCGACAGCCCCTACCCTAATCTTTTTATTGGAAAACTGAGAAAAACACCCAAAACCATCAATTTCTACCTTTTACCCTTGACTACACGCCGATGCCTCCATATGATTGCACACAAAAAACCATGCCAAAAAAAATTGTTCCTACCTACCTATCCTATTTTCAAATGCCATGTACTCTGAAGCATAACTATTATTTATTTGGCCTAAAGGGCCTGTCTCAATTCAATATATTGGATGAGTTCCGGACCAGTTGTGGATATTTTATCGGGTATGAGGTTATTTATTTATTTATTATTTATATTTATTAACCCTCCTATGGAAACATGCATTGTCAGCCTGGTTATTACTTGGGTCAATATTGGTCAAGACCCCCATTGGTTTGTACACAATATGCCAGGAGGTGAGATACAAACATTTTGACCATTGGTGACCTCTTAAATAACAGGAGTGTTAATATATAATGTTTAATATTTCGAACAACTTCCCCGCAATCTTCTTGCAATTAAGTTATCAGTACTGGTGAGTCAAAACAGTTGCTAATAACAATTTCCCAGGAACATGTCCGGGACAAATGCAGAGTTCCATCTGGACAAAATTAATCATTCTACGCACAACTTGTCCGCAAATCATTGTCGATATGAATTGAGAGGGGCCCTAACCTGTAGCATGTTTGCTTGAGCACCGGGCGTCATCGACAATGCTTTCAAATGTCCCTCCCAGTGGTCTACCTCAACTCTCCATTTGTAACTGTTGAGGG